AATAAATATCGATTTAAACCAAAATCAGAGGCATGGTACCAAGGTCAAGGTCAAGTCCCAAGGTCAAATATCCCCCAATATACCCAAAATATGGAAAATGTCCTCGTACCCCCATATACTATACTACTTCAACTGAAAAACTGACAACCTCTTGAGAAAGAACTATTTCATTTTTACAAACTTTGACCAACAAGGTGGTGTCATCAGCGTATTTAATTATGCTAGTAAGGTCATTATCCCTAATGGCCAAATCGTTAATAAACAAATTTAAAAAATGGGGCCCACTTACACTTCCCTGGGTTGTTCCTTTGTTCACATTATGCCATTTGTAGATAACACCCTTTAATATTAGTCTTTGTTTCCTATCCATTAGAAAGCTTAGATACCGGTTAACAAGATATCGATTGAGATGAAGAGCCTTTAGCTTTCCTCCAACCTAATGAGTGTTTCACATTATCAAAGGCTTTCGATAAATCCATTGCAAAAGCCTAACATAGTTACAATCCTAATGATCAAGTGCCTCTAAGTAACTATACTGTATTTGAATGAAGGTGTCCGTACAGCTGCAGCCCTCCCTATACGCATATTAGGTGACCGTCACATTTTCCTCAAAGACTTTCTTACTGTAATGATGGTATACAGTTCTTTCAAAACAGCGTGCTATAACTGGAGTCAGGTTAATTCCCCGAAAATCCGAAAATTGAACAGGAGTGTCCACCATTGGAAGGGGGTTGATGTTAGCTTCTTTCAGGATGTAACAAGTCCCGAATATAAGGAGGGAGTGCCTATTATTTAGATTAAAGGTAGTCTTAGGCGTAATAGAGCCTTTTGGGAGCATATAAAGTTCTTCTCGTTTCATTCGCGATACTATTGTCGATGGGGCATAAGATCCCCTTTATTTACAATCCACAGCTGACTCCACGCGCAGCGAGCTTTGGCAATAATCGATCTGCCATTCAGCATAGTGAATTTGTGGAGCAAGCTATTTCTGATCTCCTTATAACAGCCTCAGGGTTAAATGTGGGTGTCCCCCTACTGTGGTTAATCCCCTATCAGTTTCCATTCAGGTTTATGGTAAGAAAAGGCGCATGTTAGACTTACGATATCCGAATCAATTTGTGGACCACGGGGCCACTGAGCCGCTAGGCCGCTGGGCCGCTTGGCCAGTTACGACGAACGCACTAGTTTTTTGCCAGTATATGAAGATTGTACGTTTTACGCCCCCGGGCTGTCTGTATGTAAGCCGTTTGGCTGGTTGACTTTTATCATTGACGCTTCTTATTTTCACTTAAGGCCCGGTTCAGACCCTGAACTTTTCATGAGCCGAACCTATTTCGAATCAAGGCTGCACCCAAATTATTTAGACCGGCAGAATTGATTTACAGTAGAAAAAAATACAGTATCTTTATTAAATCTCAACTACGTGGCTCTTCCGATTTAAAAGAAAGAAGAAGGAGAACAAGAAGGAGAACAAGACTAATTTACAAAACCAATTGTTAATGATAAATGGAAAAATAGGAATAAAACTAAATTAAGAAATAGCTACGGTAATATATCGTATATACTATATACATATACGTATACTTATTATTGACTTAAAAACGCTCTAAATATGACATATAAAAATTGTTTTAGTCATTCAATCAGTCACCTAGTTCTTGGTGTGACATAGCTCCAATTTTGCACCGCGCTTAAAGCTAGTGAGCGTTTTACTATTTCTTGTACTTGCGCTTAGCGAGTTCCAAGTGTTGATAGACCGATAGTAAAAGGAACGTTGTGCAGTGGCTGTCCTGCACACAGGAATGTCTAGATTTTCCCTGAATCTGGTATTATACCTAAATGGATTCCTGTTCTTTTATTGATGTAGCTATTTAGATAGGAGGGCACAAGTCCATTCACTATTTTGTACAACTGTGTGACAACGCGTACCAACAGCGGATGTTTAATAGAGGACCAATTCCCGCAGGACGGGTGAATAGTATGGTCGAACTTCCTAGTATTAGTTAAAAATCGAGCAGCAAAATTTTGTACGAGTTGCAGTTTATGAATGTCTGCTTAAAAGTGCCAGACCATACAGTAGAACAATAAAAGACCTTACTGAAAACCAAGCAATTCAAAATGGTGAAGAGTACTGATTTGGAAAATAGATGCCTAACTTTGCTTATCTGACACAGAGTAGAGATAAGGGACGAAGTCAATGTATTTACATGTTCATTAAATGTAAGGTTCGAGTCTAGTATGATACCCAGGTCTTTGACTAAGGGTACGGGGGCTAGGTTTTGGCCAAGAAAAGGAACTTTGACATCCGGAATTTTACTTACTAGCTGTCGCATTCCAAACAAAATAAGTTTGGTTTTACTAGGATTGATGAGTAGCTTATTAGTACAGCACCAGGTGGCGATGAGACGAAGATCTTCGATGACTTTAGTCAGGCAGGAGTCAATGTCCTTGGATGAGAACGAAAGATAAACCTTAGTATCATCGACATATGACTCGACACTTGAAACTTTGACGACGGAGGGTAAGTCAGTTAAGCAGAGAGTGAACAGTAGCGGCCCTAAAATGGACCCCTGCGGTACGCCATGTGTAACGATTAGCTCCTCAGAGCGGGATGTTCCTAGTCGTGTCGACTGCAGACGGTCGGTAAGGTAGCTCTGAAACCACTTCGAGGCTTTACTTGACGCACCCAGCCCTTGCAACTTAAGAAGGAGTGTCCTGTGCCATATGCTATCAAATACCTTGCTAAGATCGATCAGGACCATAGCCATTATCTCCTTCTTGCCCATTGCTTTGAAAATGTGACCAGTAACAAGCAGACTCAGGGTTTCGGTAGAGTGGTATTTGCGATTTCCACTCTAGTGGCATATGAGGTTGCCTTGTTGAGTCAGAAACTCATTAAATTGATTCAAAGCAATCTTCTCGGTCAATTTGGAGAGTACGGGAAGTAATGAGATCGGACGGTTGTTATTAGGAATCTCATGATCTCCATCTTTAAGGCGCGGCACCACCATTGATTTCTTCCAGATCCTAGCGAAAGCGGAGCTGGCAAACGAAAGGTTTACTAGCGCGGTTAAGGTTGTTAATACGTAAGGCAAACAGTCCTTGATCACAAATTAGGGAATTCTGTCATATCCTAGGGCTTTATTCGAAGGCATAGCCATAATCGCCTTTCGCACGTCAATACCAGTTACTACCTTAAATTGAAACAGCTCGTCAGAGGTCTGTGATGGACAAAGATTAAAAGGGATGGAAAGGTTTGATAAGCTGTGCGACTGGGCAAGCTCTGCAGAGTCACGAGCTGCCTTCTCTCCCACAGATGTAAAAAAGTGATTGAATTCATTAGCAAGTGTCAGTATCTGTGTCTTTGGTGAAGCGCGCGCGACCTGTCTTGTTTGGAAGAACGCTGCGAATGGTTTTCCAAATTGCCCCACAGTTGTTCTTATTTTCACAAATTTCCTGGTTATAGTATTCCCGTTCTGCCTCTCGTAACGCCACTTTCACCCTATTTCGCAGCTCCCTAAAAACTTTCCAGTCCTCCTTTGTCCCAGTCTTACGCGCTCTTTGTTGCAGACAATCCCTTTCTTTCATCAAATCCCTTATGTCCTCCGTGATAAATTGATTTGGTTTGGGTCGTATTTTCACTGTTCTAACAGGGGCATGGTTTTCCAAGCAAGCCAAAAACAAGTCATTGAACGCATCGAGCCTATCATCAACTGAATCCCTTAGGTTAACAGTATCCCACGGGACGTGGGCGATGTCGATTGCAAACTGGTCAGCTTTGTAGTTACGAAAGCTACGCGTAATAACGTAAGTTGGGACTTGCTTAGGTGATTTTAGATAGATGTCAACGAAGACTAAGAAATGATCGCTCATAGCGGAGCTCTAGCGCGCGAAGCGCGCGTAGCGCTCATGTATTAGAAAAAGTATTACTTTAATGTTTATGTGTTCCTCGAAGAATAAATTCACGCTTTTATACCAAAACTCGGTAACAGATGTTTCGGTTGGTTTCCGTCCGCCATGTTGGTGCTCATCCGGATGAGCACCAGCATGGCGTCTCCATACAAATCTCTATAAATTTTGGTAGAACGTTTCTTCGGATATCTCGTAGACGAAATATTCCTCTAACCTGAAATTTGGCAAGGGTCTTTGCATATTTTCCTCCTTTCATTTCCCAGTGAGCTTTCGTAGGATATGAAGAATTAAGCAGATCTCGGAGGGTGTTATAGCACTACTCAGCCTCATTTATTAATTGCTAAATAACCGAGCAATATTGTGTCAACAAATCCGATATTATTTTATTTATTTTATTTTAAACAATATTTAGTCAGGGACTCCTAGTTCAGCGAGAATGGTTTAAATGGGGCCCTGACGAAAAAGAAAAACAACACACAAAACAAATAAGTATAAAATATGGTACAACTAAGTATAACAAAAGTAAAGGCGGCTCAGTTAGGCTTGGATCTAAATTGCCTATTTAGGCCAAGCGCAAACTTATTAATATCATGCTCGCCCCTCAGGTTCAGAGGAAGCGTGTTTTAGAACTTGGCTCCGCTGAACCTGAAGGAGCCCTGATACTTAGTTGTCCTACAGCTAGGGGCAGAAGGATCAAATCTCTATGGCACGTGTTAAATGACTGAAAATCGCGCGAGTGGCTTAATTCATTATGAAGTATGCTGGAGCCAGGCCAGAAGGTTCTTAAACATTAACATGCACTTTAGATAGTAACGGCAGGAGGACTGGAGTGTAGGCCAACCGAATATGCGAGATATCTGCTATTTTGAAACTGTGTAGCCTTCAATAGCACTGGCGGCACGCCTTTGCAGCTTATCAGAAAAAAAACACAGACACATACACAAGCATTTGAATTAAACTCATGATCATGTTCCCTTTATAACATATTTATCGGTAATAGGTCGCCGAGATAAATATCCTTCTTCTGATCCTCCTATTTATTGGCTACTAAAGGAGGCAATTATTCTCTCTTTTTTCAGTTGTCCTAG